TAAGGAGCTTCTACATTCTTCTAGAATTTGCATTACACTTTAATAAAGAGCCAAAAAGTAAGGCAACTAGTATCTTAATCAGTTTTTTATGAGTACATGACAGAAGGAAAAAACGTGGTATACAGAACAAGAAAAAAATCAACAACATTCTTATGGTGTGCTTGGAAGTGATGAAAACAATGGATTGGTTGATAGAGAAGATGATGCATTTCATGAATACATGATCAGCATTCTCTATACTTATTCAATTCTCATCTCAACAAAGCACACCCTCAAGCATTATACACAAATATTATGTTCACTTAATAATACTAATCTACCATAAGAAGTTCCCAAGTTGAGATGGAGACGAAGAATCTTCAAGATCATTTGATGGAGAGTGAACATGTCTCCCTTCATATGTTGTTATCACCATTCTCGGATCCTCCGCTAAGCGCTCCACGCGTTTCTTTACACGACAGTTATCTTGTGTGCAACGGTAATAGCTTCTGCATGCAATGCAGACCAAACACAGTATAAGAAATCTTTTTTTGAGTTTCTCGATCGATCATCATCATCACATTGTAAGAGAGTAATTTTGTTCATGTACACATTAATGACAATTTAATAACAAAACATCCTCATGTTAATTATAATCGGAATATGTAAGAGCCATCAATTCACCATCATAAAGGCACTATAATATAAGGACCATTTATTCAGGAAAGTGCTATAATGGGTTTGTGAGGAAAAGTCTTAGCATGAGTGTCTGGAAAAAGTTCTTTCAGACATGTAATTTTCACATACTATAATTAACATCAGAGGGGTCATAATTAACATGTAATTTTCTTTCTAACCTTAGAACATATATTTTATATACACATTTTGAACTTGATGTATAAAGTGATGAACTTTTGCTTTTACATATATCTTTAACTCTTGTAGGCACCACCACATTATTCAGAAAAAAAGTTAAGATCTTGCCGAAACCAGTAACAAAGCTGAATATACATGTAATCATGATCAAAACAATAATGAGAGAGAGAGAGAGAGAGAGAGAGAGAGAGAGAATAGATATGTTTGCAATACAATGATCATGAAAGTGTTTGATGAATTGAATATTCTTGAATCAACTTTTGAATTAAAGCAAAAAGAGAGGAGGTTTGAACTCGTGAATACCTGGGGTGCTGCGTGTTCTTCACAACTTTCTGTCCGTACTTCCTCCACTTGTAGCCATCGTCCAATACATCCACATCGCTCATAGTCTTGAAGCAAAACCTAGGCTCTCTAACCTTCCTTCTTGCCTTCATTTTCTTCATCTTCATGGCTGAAATTCCCAGATGATGATGATCATCAAATCCACTTCTTTTACTGCCGAAGCAGTCACTCACTTCTCCCAGTGCCCTAAATTCAATCGTAACCAAACACCAACTCTCTTTACTTACATGATAATTTAATACTGAAAAAAAAAAACACTTAAATATATATGGATGTATCTATCTTGATGATTAACTAATATATTTAACAAGATGTTAATAGAGAAAGTGAGAGAATTGTCTCACCATGGATTTAGACTGGATCTATGCAAGGACAGGAACTGAGCTCCTCCAAAGGTAGAAGTTGAGTTGTGAAATAGGGTTTCTGTTAGATTTGATGTAGAAGAATCCTGTTGAGATATGGCAAGTGAAGAAGGTGTTGTTATGGAGGTGAAGGCTTTCAGAGAGGATTGATGGCAACCCAAAGGAGGCAAAGTAAGGTTTGATGGAAAGGGAAAGAACCCCATCTGTGTATGAATCTGATCTTGCTCCTCAAATAAGCTGTGGTGAGCAATGGTATGTGAAGTTGTTGACATCACTTCTTCTGATCTTTTCTCCTTCTTTCTATATAGATATTCCTGATGATGTTTCTAAGAGCTTTGCTCAGGCTTCAATAAATGCTTTCTCTCCAACCTTAGAGGTCAGAATTACACCCTAATGGAATGCAGAAACTTATAACGTTGCCAAACCAACTTTCCCTTTTTCTCTTTCTCTCTCTCTCTCTCTCTTTCTTTCTTTTCTTCCATGATTTTCAAAAATGTTTGTCATATATTGTTTGTATTTGGAACATGTGAACTGTGGAAAGTTGAAATAACTAACTACATGGATGGACATTCATTCAGTACAGGTGGAATAAGCAGAAATTTTAGTTAAATAAGTCTAATAAATAAATAAAAGGAATAAATATTTTATTCTTAATATAAATATTTTAAATTTTGATATATTTTGGTTTTAAAATTTTAAAAATGAATAGATATAATCATTTTTAATCTAACAAGTTAATTTTCTTTTGTATTAAAAAGTGTTCTAAACTAATATCTAAGCAAAAATGTATTAAATAGTGTAACTCTCAAGCACTAGGATAAAACGTTATTTAATAATTAAGTTATGAAAATTTTATTTATTTATTTCTAAAGTTTGAAAACCTAATTATATTTGAAATAAATAAATTTCAATTTCGTATATAAATTTACAAAATAAAAAAATATTGGGTTAAATATGTTTTTGATCCCTTAACTTTCAGCGAAAATTGGAATTAGTCCCTCTTCAAAACTTTGGACTAATTTAGTCCCCAAACTTTAGAAATGTGTGAATTTAGTCCTTTTAACCAAATTTTGTTAACTTTATTTGATGTTTTGAACGCATTTCTCAGTTAACATTGAAGCAAAAATGTGTCAAACAATATAAACAACTCAAATACTATCATGAAACACACTTGAAACATTAAATAAACCTAACAAAATTTAGTTAAAAGGACTAAATTCACACATTTCTAAAGTTTGGGGACTAAATTAGGCCAAAGTTTTGAAGATGGATTAATTCCAAAAAATATTTAATCTATAAATAAAAAGTATTAAATATCATTTTTATTCATTTAAGTTTTTTTATTAAAAATGTGCCAAAATTTGTAGATTTTAACAACTGATAAATGTGCCAAAATTGAGAATTTTATATTGGCATAAAAAAACGGAGATTTTATGGTAGATAAGTCTGTAGAAGGGAACTAAAATGTGGAAAAAGTATGCGAGAAATATGGTAAAGGTTAAGGTGAGAGAGATAGTTGTACGTAGTAACATTTCAACATGATAATGATGTTTGACAATATTTTTTTATAATATTTTAATATTATTTACGTGTTATTTTGTGATTGATCCAAAATTATTCCACAGTCAATAATAATAATCATAAATATTACCATAAATCAATCACAGAAATAAATCAATCACAGAATGATACACAGATAATGTTAAAATGTTGTTAAAAAAATATTATCAAAATATCATTATCTTTTCAACGGTTGGCAGTTTGCTGAAAACAGTGATGTACTGTTGGGCCTAAAAAGCTTGGAAATTCCATGTCCTTGATGGTTAGTGGGATTTTACTGTGGCATGGAGGTCAACATTACACGACAAATAGCTCAACAGAGAAGTTCATTGCTATCTTTGCCTCAAAAAATGTCTATGAAACTTCCATGCAACATCCCCTGGCTGTAGATAATAATTATAATATGTGCAAAAGCAAAACCCGTTGAGTGCACAATAATAGAAATAGATACCTAGCCATAATCAAATGTAAGTGAAAATTTATCGATCATTATATTCATCAATTCACCATAAAGTATCTAAGACAACAAGACTTTCTTTAGATTATTTACAAAAAGATTATTATTTTGAAAAATAAAAAATAAAAAATGGGAGGAAGTGATGATGATTATTGGATGCATTATCAATCACACTCATCTCTGCAACTGTGGTGAAGTATCATTATGATGGGTGATTGCTTATTTGACTTTATGTGGCCAAAAAAGCCTCTTGCCTTTCTCACACCCCTTTTGCTCTTTTAACTTTCTAAAACTCCAACCAACCCCACAACACCAAACTTTTTTCTCAATTTCCAAACCAAACTTATAATATTGTTATCATGTCTTCGATTAATTTACTCTCACAATCATTATTAACTTTATATTTTCCCATGCCTAAAAATCTGTGGACCTGTATGCCCATTCAAAGCATATAGTTCATCTACCCTCTTCACAATTTTGCCATAATTCAATAATTATGTTTTCTTTGTACTTCATATCATCAACTTCGTTTGTAGAAATTAATCAATCAGTCAGTGTTTTTGTTGTTCGGAATGATTCTTTAAACATGATAAATTATATTAAGAAAGTAACTGTTTACCATGCAATTAATAAATATAAACCATATAGTAACTATTCATCAAAATATAGTGTGTATTTGTTTCACACTAAAATTAAATATTTTCCATTTGTATTGTATATTTTTGTTCGTGTTAAATAATTAATAAATCATAAGGATCAGTGGAACAAACATAAGAGAGAAGGTTCTTATCTATATTTTTGTAATATTCTCTTGTTAAATATATAATTAAAATTATAATATATAAATTCGTATAGGATCTTTGTCATGAATGTAGGAATAAAAAATATCCATAACAGGTGATATAATAAGTTTAATTAATTTAATTAAAATTCACTAATAACTCTAAGACAATTATAATTTTAACCTTGGTAAGATATTAATACTCACTTATATATTACAGTTTGGTGGTATAAATATAAAAAACCTTAATTAACCATCTGATCATAATTTTAATTAAACTTGAAAACCCTAAAGGATTAAACTTTGGATCCAGAAAGAAATGTACATTGGCCACCTATATATACTTTCTTTTTTGACATCGTTATATACTAAATGTTGAGTGACTTAAAAAGTGCATTCAGTGGGGAAATATATTTCAATGATGTGTGGCTGGGATTATACATCCTTCAGTTGTAATTTAAATCCAAATAACATTAAAAAAGTTTAATAATTAATTTAATTAGAAAAATTATTAACTTAATTCTAAAAGTAAAAGCCATTCATACTTTTTCATAATCCAAGGACTTCAAATAAGTAACTATTTGTTTTTTCTTAATTTAATAAGCTCGTATAATTATTCTTTAATAGTCAAATTAAAATAAAGGTATATAAAGTAATTTAGTCTATAAATACTTTATCTCTGCGCATTTAAGTATTTTTGTAATATAATTAGAAAAAAAGGGGGTAAGTAAAATGGGTTTTGCTGGCGTTAGGCTAACGTAGTGATGATGTGAGAGTGAATACGTACTATGGGAATAATATAATGCTTAGTTTATTATTGATTTAAATGAAGATGCTTTTTTTTTCGTTTGGTTTGAGCCCTAAGTAAGGTAGAGAAAAGGCATAGGGGTGGCAAACATACATCATTTCTTTTTGTCTCTGCTTATAGGTTGCCATTATGCCCTTCAAATTACCCCTATTATTAATCTATAGTACATCGTCTCACTTTTATATATATATTGTTTAAGTGTTTATAAAAAATAATTTTAATATATATTTTTCTCTCAATTATTTAAAGTATCTTTTAAGAGTAAAAATATGAAAAAAAAAATTTTAATATTTAAATTGTTTCTGTCACACCTAATTAAGAGTCTTATATAGTTTAGTAATTGAGATGAGATAAAAAAAGAGTTTAAAAATTCATTCTTTTTTCTACTTTTTAAAATATTTTATAAAAACAAAACTGCAATAGATAAGACTCTAAAATAATTAATATCTCAAAATTATAATAATTGATGCTAACAATTTCACTGTATATCATTCATTCGAAATATTTTAAATAAAAAAAAATGTGTAATAATTTATTTTAATAATATTACCTCAACACATTGAAAAGTTATAAACTTTTCATTTTTCTCTTTAATACATATTCACTTAATATATATATATTAAAAACATAAAAACTCTATGTCAGTTTTTTATGTAAGTTTTTATGTTACCATATACATATATAATGACCATTTATAAATATTGTTTTATGTTTAATTAATCACCGACGTTAAATTCTATCTAATTAAACTTCGATTCTAGTGGACACCTAAAAGGGAAAAGTGTAATGAGTGAGTGAGATTACTAAAATGATTAGAGTAATTTGATCTTATTCACTTTATGTCTGTAGATTATACTTACTTAAGGTTTATATTGCATTGGGATCATTTATAGTGCTTACTTTCTGAAATATCATTGTTGATTCACATGATAATTAATAAATAGTACTTAATAATTGATATTAATCCTAGGTTACCATACCCCATAATTTATCACTTTATTGTCTACTACCAATATATCTCTATCACTCCTCAATTATAAATTAAATTTCTTTAAATATCACATATATTAAGCTAGATGTACTACAATTGGAAAAGAAAAATTACAAAAATAGAAAATATTATTTATTTCTTAATATGACTCAAAATATTATTTCTTTGTTAATATGACTCAACATGTTCGTGAAATTGAATGTCCTAACTTAATACATATGCATAAAATATTAACAACTCCGTTTCATTTTATAAAAATGATCAATAACATAATCAATTTACACACATCCAAATAATTTAAATTTCAAATAAAATTTGTTAAAATAATTAGGTCCATAAAACTTGAATCAAACATACTTAATATGGACTAATTTTCTTTCTTTCATTAGAATAGACTTATTGGACAAATCAAAATTTGCTTAACTGATTAAATTGAAAAATTATTCAACTATTCTAAGGGTACGTAATATTCGAAGAAAAAAATTCTCTTGAATGAATTTTTTATTTATTAGACAAAAATAATTCAAAAATTAACTTTTTTACTGTTGGATTATTCACTCAGCAAATTCTCGTTTGAATAACGTTATGCATAACCAATTTGTTTTTTTTGGAATAAACCAACGTATCTAAAATCCAAAATAAATAATTCTAACTTTTATATCAAATTTCAAATATCAATTTAAATATGCTTTCTAATATATCAGATCAAACTTAGGACTATTCAAGACTAAAAATATATATAACTTAAAGCAACATTAAAGTGATTTAACAAATCAATTAAGGCAAATAAGTCTTAACCTTTTCATATTAAATTAATATTAAGCTTTTGATTGTATTGTACCATTTTGTTTACATCTGCCTTCCTGGTAT